AAATAACTTCCTCAGTTCAGTCTCAGTATTACTGAAATCTAGCTAACTATTTTCAGGAGATTTTAGAGAAAGACCCAAGAATAGCTACTTAGGCAATTTTTATTATACCTTCTTCATGTTTCTCACAAGTGCCATCCCTGTACATACTCTTAATTTGCAGAGTATTAAATAGCTGCTCACGGACACAACCAACAATCTTAGGCATTGAAAATCTCAATTCCTGAACAGAAAGCTAAAATTCAAAGCATTCCAAGTTTTAGATGCAGGTTCCTCTTGCTCTCTAGAAAGTTTATTTAAAAATAAATTCAGCTACGCCTGATACTCATTGGATAAAACTGAATACAGACAATAATAGTTCAAAAAATTTCCTATAATTTTAAAATAAATCTTTTAAATAAAGGCCTTTTTTTTAATTATGTGGTCTGTTCAAGCACAACTGATACTGTCATTCACTTAACTAATTAGTGTTTCTAAAGAATGCATTTTATTTGTTTGTGATCATTTATTATCTAAGCTCTGATTTTGCAGCTTCTCAGGCAACAAATAGCTGCCTTGCATCTGGGGAATAAAACACACAAAAGGGTGTTGGTGTGCTGTTTGAATACATGCAATTACTAGTAGTTACATTCTAATTAGCATAATTAGTTTTTAAACAGTTGTCATAATAACTGTCAACATTATGTCGATTTAGCTGAAGTTAATGGCATACTTAACAAAGACACATTTACTCATTTTCAGTATTATACTATTTAAAAGAAAGGAGGCAAAGCCCTTTCTGAAGAAGTAAAACTGCTTTTCCTAGACACTGAACATTTCTTATTTTGTTTCCTTTCGGCAATCCATCTTATAAAACAGCACTTTATATAATCACCACCCTTCAGCTGCCGTAAGACTATTCTTACAAATTAACACTGATAAAGTGGCAATAAAAAGCAAGTATACCGAAGTACAGATGCTTGCAAATTCAGTCTTCTGTTTCGGAAAAGACAGCAATATTTGACAGTTGGGAGTGAGGAGGAAGGAAGCTGGAGATGGAGGAGGGAGAAATCAAGAGGTAAACTAATCTTGAAAAGACTGAAGAAGTGGTATGCTAAAAAGTACCAAATGTTTGTAGTCAGACAAAACGTCCTTTCACTGCTTACTAGGAAAGAGCATAAATGATTCACAAAGGCCATTTTTTTACCTTTTCTCTAGTTATCATAAGTTACTATGACTACTATTTACAAGTAGTCAAAAATGTTCCATTATTAAACTAAATTATCATTGAGTAGTCATAAAATAATCTTAAAAGACTCCCTGAACTGTGAGAAGTCTTTGTTGTAGGGTTTTTTGCCTTCTTGTTGTCGCTGTTTTGTTTGGGTTGGGTTGGGGTTTTTTTGTTCATATAAAATAGATAAACAAAATTAAAGACTTCGTGCTCCTTAAAGCAGTAAACCACCAAACACACCACCATTCAAATATTAAAAAAAAAACCAAACCAAGCCACAGAACAGGAGTTTGATATTAATTCATTGTGAAGACAAAGCAAATCTACAGAAGTTTTACCCAATTATTTTGGACAAATTCTTTTCCTTTCATCTAAACATTTATCATCATGTGTCATAAAGATATTTTATATTCATGTTTCTACTGTTTTTATGCATGCAACTATTCAGAAAAAAAGCTGAAATCAGGAACTTGAATCAGTGCCACTCAGAGACAAAATATCTTTCTGCAATTTTCAGGCAGTTTCAGGCTCATTATCATAATTTTAAGCAATAAATATTGTCTTATATTAAGCAAAATGGCTTTGTTTTGAACTATTTTCCAAAAATTCTAGTAGCATTAATAAAAATGGACAAGTCAAAATGGTAAGTAATACTGGTATTTGTAAACACTTATGGAGTGCAACGAGGTAGGACAGAGCAGGAGAATTATTCCCAAACTTTGGACACTGAATGAGGCAGCAACTGTAAGTGAAGTCCCAAACCAATTCAGTAGAAAAGAAACTCTTTCAGCGGTCAATTCATCCTGAAATTTGCCTAAAATCAGGCAAAATGACTGTCAGCCTATAGAACAAGGAGATTAAGATAAAGTAGCTCTACCACAGTTTTGTTATGCTTCCAGAAAACTCAGCAGTGAGATGCATACTCTGAATCCCTTTCTAGGAGGATGCATTACCTCTCCACTGATTGTGAAGGGGAAGAAACTGACCAGACCAACATTTGACCTGTGAAAACATTCTAAAGCAGAACTGCTCCACACCTCAGCATCATCTTTCTGCTTAGTGTTGAAGACATTCTGTATTATTTTCTTAATGTTTCTAAGCCCAAGTTAATACTCTGCAGACCCCCATCATCTGTGCGATCACCAGAACACATAAGCTGTGTTGTGGACAACTCAACATACACCTACCACAAGTAGAAAAGTAATAAAACTATGACTTTGCTATCTCTGAATTAGGAGCCCCCAGCAAATCTAATACACTGGCCATACATCTGAAAATCAGGTGTCCCAAACACCTTTTAAACCCACTTACATGGTTCTATATGGAAACTCTATTTTCAATCTATAGCCCAACTGCCTATATTACAGGAGTGAACCATGCACAGCTATTGAACTCCATCTAAAGCAACACCTGCTGTCCATTATTAATCCTTATTCCCTAACCCATTTTAAAATCTACAATTTCCCACAGAAAGATCTACATCTGTGACACAGGAAGTAATCTTGGGAAGCTTTTACAAATTGTTAACAGAAAAGCAAAAAAAATAAGTATTTTGTCCCCTGTTTGCAATTCTACTGCAATTCTACTGCAATTCTACTAGTATGTAACTTTTTGCTGCTAGCTTGTCATTCTTGTCTATATTGGCACATAATCACTGCCACAGTAATGGTCCACATCAGATGGGTATGAACCCCAGCAAGAATGATCAGCCCTAGTAGAGGAACTAATAACAGGCTAATAATTTCTCAGATGAATGAAACACTGCATTTTAAATCATTTCAACTCAGACTGAACAGCTACATGGAAATTCTTCACACAGATCTCTTCTACATAAAGTCAAGCTCTTTTCTAAACACAGCTGAAAGCTCCCGTTACTGAAACATAACAATAGGCCTCACACACTGAACTCTGTCAAATCACAGACGCAAGACAGAGGAAAAAAAAAAAAAAAAAAAAGGAGGCAGTGACCCCTAACTTACAGCCCCTTTTAAGCAAAGGCCCAAAGTCTTTCACAAGACTTTGTCAAAGGAGGCTTGAGAAGAGCTCTGCCTATGTGACAATGTAACATTATACTCCTCAGGACGCAAGCCTGATGGCAGTTCCAGGTAAGAAATAAATACTTCTGAGGAACCTGCAACTCCACCCCATGCACAGTCTGCTCGGATCTACATGAAAGGCTCTCACCTGCTTTTGCATCAGCATGAAAGAAGCTGCAGTTAGGCACAGATAAAAGTGTGGAGAGACAGGAATGAAGAAGCCTGTAGCAGACAAATATGCCATAAAAGTTGACAGGTGATGAACAAAAGGCCCTTACAGAAGCATGACTCAATGAATTTTTCATTAGTCTCTTGTTTTATGACCATTCAAAATACTTTTCCTCAAAATGCTGCTGAATCTTCTCTACAGGTTAAGCATTACACCAAAACAAGAGCAGAACGCTGCTAGTAGCATGACAACTAGTAATTGTTCACACAGAAATAGAAAACTAAAGCAACACAACACTTTTTAAATTTAGTTAATTCAGATCATTAGAAGAAATTATGGCTTTAATTCCCAACTACAGAAAAGGAAAAACTGTACCATTTTTATGCAATTTATGTTGATTTCTGACCTTTCATCTATTTTCCTATTCATTTCAAATATACATAACCCAAATACTGTTTCTCCTAACAAACTAGAAACCAGAAATCGATAGGTTAACACTTAGTTCCCTGAAAAACATTAGGGCTCAAAGCACACAACTTCCAAAAATATACTCTGTAACTAGCATGGAGTCAAATAAACCACATCTGCCCCAAAGAGCCACACTTAACACCATCACTAAGGAGAAGTCACAGTTACATTTGTACGTGCAGATTTGTTGCCCTTGAAGTGAAATACTATTTCTGATAGATTTGTGGAGGAAACAGACATCTACATGCTGGTATAATATGAAAAACTGGCATGGTGGTATCTGTTCAGCACTGTTTAATCATAGCCTTTTTTAAAGTGAATCCCATGTGGAAACAAAGATTTATACTAGAAAGTAAACATGGATCAACGCAGTTTTGGTAACCAGTGGAAAGGCAGAAGAGGGACAAGGGGAAAACATTAATAAAACTTTTCTGCTTTTTCTATACAACATGAAATATATTAAAGCAATTCAAGTAAGTCTTTGAAGAAAAGTACAGACTATTATATGGGGTCCTGCATTAAATTTCAACACTTCTTTGGATCCCAATACACAGAACCACAAAATAGCATAATCAGTGCTTAAAAAAAAAAAAAAAGAGCTGAAAGTTTTAGTGTATGAGGCATTTCTTCCCTTTTCTCTTCCCTGATCATTTTATCCAAAAACCTAACTAAGCTTATGCTTTATACAGCTAAGTTCTCCTGAGGACAGAGTCCTGCAGAGTGGAAACAAAGACACTGATAGAAAAGAATAATCAGGAGAAAGCACAGTTACCTTCTGTTGCTATCTTTAAATGCATGTGCTTTTTTTTTTTTTTTTAAGGAAAGAAACTTCATAAAGGCAAAGGGCTGCATCAATGCAATATTCAGCTCAGACTTTATGCAAAATCCAGTAGCCCAATTCAGAGTTGCTGCTACCATAAATGTTACTCAGCTGCATTCAACATACTAAGTAATGTTATATGCAGGAATGCATTAGGTACTTTAAAAAAGCAGCTCAGGGACAAGAAGCTGTTCTAAAAATCAGCTCTAGTTTGATCCCCATTCCCCCACCAGTGAATACAGAAATGCAACATATTATTTATTTTTTTTTACACTCCGAGCTTTGAAAAAAATTACTCACCAAATTAGGAGTCAGGGAAGGTGCTGACTTCCCAAGTGCTTGGTAGTGCAGGCGAACAAGATTGGAGATCTCTGCAGACTGCCATAGCTGCTGCCCTGTTGTGCTGGGAAGCAGATATTTGCCTGTCAAGTTAAAAAAGACTGTCTTAAAATGTTACATGTTGCAGATGAGGCAATGCTTACTATAAGATAATGTTTACTGAAAGGTAATGCTCTTACCATTGTAAAATACTTGTTTCTTTCACTATAGCTCTGACCAAAGTGGATTCCAAACAGAATTCCTACTGTTTACTTGCTAGCCCTTCTTGTTAACCCTTCCACAAGCAACACTTCCCTAAGGCAAACTCATTTTTTTCAGTAACCTCACAACTATACCTTTTTCCTACCTACAAACACAATTAATGCAACAACAGATACAAACATCCAGAATGGTGGGTCTGAACCAAAGGAACCTAAATTCTGAGGGGTAGACAAAAATAAATAAATAAAAACAACTACTCAAAAAGGAAAAAAAACAAAAAACAATGACAAACCAAACAATAAAACCAAACCATTCCATCTAACCCTGAAGCAATAGAATTCTGAGTACAAGGTACAAAGTGAGGTTTACTGAAATAAAGCACTTATTATGAGGATAACAATAATATTGCCCTGTGAATGGGGACTATTCTGCTTTTATTCCAAAATGGCTTATAATCTACCTAATAGGCCTCACTCAATTCCAAAAAAAGTATCCTTACCCAGCATACCAAGAAAGTGGAGATCACCAAGGCGTACAACAGCCACTCCCCAGGAACACACACACACTGGGCTCTCAGACAGCAGTTGACATAGCCCTCCACCATGGTTGCAGTACTTGCTGCCTTAAAGTGTCATTTTGCTTGAGCAAAGCATAACGGAAGGTCAGAGCCCTGATCAAGCACTCCCACTTGGTCATGACCATCTCCCTACAGGCACTAAGCAGGCAGAAAGCATCATGGGCTCAGGAAGCCCCTAAGCTGCAAAACAGCATCAGGGGAATACTCAGGGAATTATATTAAGATGACGGGCATATAATAATGCTCTTCTGTTCTGCTTACTTTCAGACATTGTCAAGAAACAGGGTAAGAGGCTATACACAATTCTTAGCAAAGATGTACAGCCTAAGTTCTTAGTTATTTCTGAAAACTATGCAAAAATGAGACTCTACTGAAATAACTGACTTCTCTTAGAAGACCAACTAACTGATGCAAAGTGACAAAAAAAAAAAATTTAGTCAAATCTAGGTTCAAAATCACAATGCAAAATTTTTATTGACCAGCTGAAATGAAAACCATCTTCCCAACTACACATCCTAAACATTTGTTTCCTGGAATTACTAATTATTACCTCATTAACCTTGTAATCTCAGAGAACTATGGAGTGAGTAGGTATGTGCATGACCACTGCTATAGGATTTGCACCCTGGTAGGTGTGCACAGATTTGCCAGGAAATCAAAGGCTTCTGCTTCAGAACCCTATTTTTGACAGCAGATCCTCAGAGAGTTGCTGGAAACTGACTGTTCTGGGAGCTAGAGAGTTCTCAAGCAGCAGCACAAAATAGTCTTTTTAATGCTTCCCAATTAGTCTTCAAAATGTGCTATTGTTCTTTGTTATACTGGTAAAGTGGAACCCATGAACATTTTTCACCCAATTTGCTAACAGCTTGCCAGAGCCTAGAAGAAAAACATACAAAAAAGATGTGGGTTTTTGCTCAATTATCCAGGATAACATTTCCCAGAACTGGAAAAACTGAATTAATTTCCCATCTGCTCTCTCTGCCTGTTTCTACCAAATTCCGGTTACCTTCTTACATAGTCTCCCACTATCCTCAACTAAAAGGACACCATAAAAAGCTTAAGGCATTGATTGTCATGTCCATATCTTTGATATTCCATTGATGTCAATTCTGATATGTTATCAGTGATATGTGCAGTCAGTTACAGCACCTCAAAAGGTTAACTCCTTCTCATCCAAGCAAGAAAAAGAGAATTAAAAAGTTAGTGGAAAAAACTAAATTATACACACCTCACATTTAAACAGGTATGCTCTATTTCTTTAATACTTTCCACATCAGAAGAGGTCTATGCGTTTTCTTGCATTTTGATTCTGCCCCCAAGAGTCAGTGATAATATGAGACACTAGACATTTCCTAGGGCTGTATCATCCGATTACAAAGATTTCTGAGGCTAGAATGCAGACTAAAAACACTGTAATGGAAGTCTGCAAGAAGGCTCCTGAAATTCCAGCGAAGTCAAGACAGCTCCAAACAATAAATCATATCACTGATGGTAATATCAGTAAAACACTTTGGCAACACCTATTTTGCCAAGACAAACATTACACAAATTTCTCTGTATTAAGCCACTCTATAAACCACCAGGAAAACATCGTTAAACAACTTGCAACTTGATCACTGTAGTATAGCCTTGGTGCCTTTTATCATCATGGGAATCAATACTTGAAAAGCAGTAGTTTTCCTCTGATCTTTAGAACAAAAGAGAATGCAAGCAAGAAACAGGTCTGTTTTAATGTATCTTGTTCTGAAACTGGGGAAGAGCTTCACTCTTTGGTTCATCAATGCCCTTTCTTGCAGGGGTTTGAAACTCATCACACTAAGCCTTTCCCAGACCACAGTAATTAAAAAAAAAAAAAACAAACATTCAATATTAACATTCAACAGTAAGATTCTGCCTGACTGACAAGAAAGCAGAAATTAACTCGGCACTAGGGCCAATGTCTGCACTCTAAGAATTCACTTAATATCCCATTATTTCTCTCTTGCATGATTAAACTGTAGAAATATTTAAAATAACATTGGAGGGTTTGTGGAGCAGCTAATTAGGCAGCCAACGCAATCAAAATTGACAATGAAAACGTGAGCATGTGTGATGCTAGAATGGTCTCTTGTCCCATCCTTACCCCAAACAGGAGCCTTGAGGGCACTGCCGAGCTCACAACATACTGAAACTGTCTAGAATTCCTTTTCTTTTCATAGCTTTTTAAGCTTTTAAACACACAAATGGCATAGAATAAATATGCTTCCTACAGAAGCAAAACTAGCCATGGCTTATAAAAGAAGATGGTAACACATATTTTATTACAGTTATTTGGGCAATAACCTTTATGCAGGGATACACTACCAGGAGATTCACACTTATCAACAAGAATGCCAACTGAAACAAAATATCTGGAAAATAACAACTGTGTATTTAATACTGTGCTTCTTAAAATAAGCAAAAGTTTGACAGTTTATAAGAATTCAGTGAGGCTTTTTCATTTCCAAAAGCAAATGGGGTGTCAACATTTCTTAAGAGAAAAAGAATTTCTTCCAAAACCATCGGCTTTGAGAGATTAGTGTGCCACTGTGTTAAACCACCACACAATAAACAGTCCGTGCCCACAGTAAGTTAGTCAGACGGATTCCTCCAGCTTAAAAAAATAAAATTCAATAATACCCTCAGTCTATCCAGTCCTTTTTCCTGCTGCTGTAGTACTTCCACAGTCTTTTTTTTTTTTTACGTTCATAATTGTATGCATTTCTTCACTTTTTGTTTAATAACCCCTTGAATTTACATGTATCCAGTTTTCCTCACTGCCATGTGATTCAAAAATCAGTATTACACATGAAACCTGAGCTTAAATGCACTACTGATTTTCACACTGCATTCATTTCTGTATTCAAGTTTAGTATTCCAAGCAGCTCCCTCCTTTTTTGAGTGAACTGACTCGGAGACAGAGAGAATGACTTCACCTCAACTCTACCTCATCCCTTCCATCTCAATTAGCATTTTAGCCGATACACAGCACAAAAACACTGCCAATGTTCAGGATAATCAACATCTAACAAGACCGCTGCCACACTGATAATAATTTTCTTACTACTTTCACCAGTTGCTGATACAGATAAATCACCTACAGATCCCCTGCTGCTGTCCCACTCAAGACAGCCTTTGAATTCCCCCCGTGCCGTCTGCAGAGGATTTGCTGGCATCTCTGCTACCCTTCCAGTGCCTGGAACTATCAAGATAGTCTGAAGTCACAACACTGTAACCAGTGTAATTCCTTCCCACATCTGAATGCAAACCTCATTATTCCACAAAATTAGTCATCAAAACACATTTCAATGAAAATTGACTTAAGTTGAGTACGTAATGGTAATAACTGAGCATTATTTAACAGCATTATGTAATCATTGGGGGGCATAGGGAATAAATACATCACTGGAGCTCAGTGTCATCTTCCCCTTGAACTTGCCTCTTGTATGTCTAGGTTCCTTTATAATGGATATTTACAGAAAGTCCAAACAGAATCTTTGTTACGTCTTAATTCTATTGCATCCCATGTGTGCATACTTCTTGTATGCCTTACTGTTTAAGGCCAAATGAGACTAGAAAAAAACCCACATACACTCACTCAAAGATCAGCCACAGAAGGTGGGCTTTGCTTTATCCTAATTAGAAAAATCTTTCCTACTGCTGAAGTATTACCCTCCTTTATCTTTCCCTATCAAATACATATCCCAGTGGCATGGCTGAGAATTACTAAATGAGCTTAAATCTAGTACATATAAATTTTCCATTTTCAGTTAATTTGGAAATTACTTGTCTCAAATCTTCAGCAGTCTGATGTTTCAGGAATTGCATATCATGGAGAATCCGTCTGCCATTCAAGCAGGATTTTGCCTTTACAAAAGTACTTAGGACAGCATAGACTGCACTGCTGGAAATTCTGTACTTTGTCAAAATGCAAAGATAAGTACAGAGAAAGCACCTTGAAAGTTTTTGATGGAAATATGTTTTTATGAAAATATTAAAAGCAGTTTTCCATTACTCAACTGTAAATGGAAGACAGGTATGTACGTTGTTAAAATAGAAGCATCTGGATTTGGGCTGACAGTATAGACACAATTAGTCCAAAGTGGAAGCTGTGCATGTGATTACAATGTACCACAGATTAAATTGAATGTGTTTGCCATGAAATAGCAGCCTTCAAAACAGCCTCTTGCCATTCTGACATTTTAAAGGCAAGAGCCAAGAAATACTTATTTCATTTAATTTCTAAAAAAATCACTTACATATATTTATGATATACATGCAGAATAT